TGCTCGCGATGGCCTCCAACCTACTTGTGATGGCCTCCAACCTACTTATGATGGCCTCCAACCTACTTGCAATGGCCTCCAACCTACTTGTGATGGCCTCCAACCTACTTGTGATGGCCTCTGACCTACTTGCGATGGCCTCCAACCTTCTTGCGATGGCCACCAACCTACCTGCGATGGCCTCCACCATAGCGATGGTGTACCTACCTACTTACCACGGCTTTCACCCTAGTAGCGACGGTCTCCAACCTCCTTGCGATGGCCCTCTCCAGCCTAGTAGCGATGGCCTCCCACCTACTTGCCATGTTGGATGCACCTAGCAGCCATAGCCTCCAACCTACTTGCGATGGCCTCCAACCTACTTGTGATGGCCTCCAACCTACTTGCAATGGCCTCCAACCTACTTGCGACGGCCTCCAACCTAGTAGCGATGGCCTCCAACCTACTTGTGATGGCCTGCAGCCTACTTGCGATGGCCTCCAGCCTACTTGTGATGGCCTCCAACCTACTTGCGATGGCCTCCAACCTACTTGCGATGGCCTCCAAACCTACTTGCGATGGCCTCCAACCAAATTGGGATGACCTCCAGCCTACTTACGATGGCCTCCAACCTACTTGCGATGGCCTCCACCCTAGTAGCGATGGCCTCCAACCTACTTGCGATGGCCTCCACTCTAGTAGCGATGACCTCCAACTACTTGCGATGGCCTCCAACCTACTTGCGATGGCCTCCAACCTACTTGTGGTGGCCTCCAACCTACTTGCGATGGCCTCCAACCTACTTGCGATGGCCTCCACCCTACTTGTGATTTGCGATGGCCTCCAACCTATGTGCGATGGCCTTGATGGCCTCCAACCTACTTGCGATGGTCTCCAACCTACTAACCAGAGCCTCCACCCTAGTAGCGATGGCCTCCAACCTACTTGCAATGGCCTTCACCCTATTTGCGATGGCCTCCAACCTGCTTGGGATGGCCTCCACTCCACCCTAGTAGCGTTGGCCTCCACCATAGCAGCGGTAACCTCCAACCTACTTGCAATGGCCTCCACCCTAGCAGCGATGGCCTCCAACCTACTTGCGATGGCCTCCACCCTAGCATTATGACATAAAGCTGCCTGCTATGTCTATAAATCCTAAAATAGGAACAAAATTGGAACTGAAAATAGGGAAAAAACAAAAGGACACAAAGAGGATGATTCTCAAAAATAGGAAAAGAAAAGAGCTGGATTTAGAAATAGGAAAGGAAAAACGGAAAAGAATGGCAGCACTCTAGGATAGGAACATGAAATGGATACGAAGAGCAAATGACTGGAAGCAACATACTGGAAGCAACATACTGGAAGCAAATTTCCTTTCATTTTCCTTTAAAAGTTGATTACGGCCTTTCATTTTCCTTTAGAACATCCTTCTATTTTCCTTTAAAGATTTATTAACTCCGTTCATTCTCAATTACAAAAATTACAAATTCCTCTAATTTCCCTTTAAAAAAAATATAGTCCTTTCATTTTCCTTTAAAGAGTAATTAATTCCTTTCATTTTCCTTTGAAAAACTTTAAATTTCTTTCATTTTCCTTTAAAAAATAAATTCCTTTCATTTTCCTTGTAAGAATTCTAAATTCCTGTCATTTTCCTTTCAAAAAAAATGCCTTTCACTTTCCTTTCAATAATTGACTATTTCCTTTCATGTCCTTCAAGAATTAAGAAATACCTTTAATTTTCTTTTTTGTTTTTTTAAATCCGATTTTTTCCTATTTTTGGGGGGGCTGAAAATCGTCCTATGTTTTTACTAGTTGTTCTTGTTTTTTCCTATGTTTCCTATTTTTTTTACTATGTTCAATTAAGAAACAAAAAAAGTAAAAATAGGAATTAAAAATATGAAAAAGAAAATAGGGCGATTTCCCCCCCCCCAAATAGCAAAAACATAGGAATTAAAACAAATTAAATAGACAATAGGAATTTATTTGTTTAAAGGAAAATGACATAATTTATAATGTTTTAATTGAACATGAAAGGAATTAATCATGTTTAAAGGAAAATGAATTAAAGGAATTTATATGTTTAAAGGGAAATTAAAAGAATCTATAATTGTTAAAAGGAAAATTGAAGGAAGTTTTAATTGTTTAAGGAAAATGAAAGGAGGTAATCCATGTTTAAAGGAAAATGAAAGGACATAATTAGATCTAATCTAATCTAATCATTCCAATCGAATGCCGGCCTAACTGTGCATTGCCGCACTGCTGTTAAATATCAAGTTTCATTCACTTGTGTCTGACCATGCGTCTGATCGGAATGAGCCACCTGCCTTCAGGTAAATCTGAAATATTCGATCCTATGTGTTTCCTATTTCATGGTTGTTCTTGTTTTCTGCCCTATTTTATTCCTTATTCCTAAAAATAAATATTATTGAAAACAATAGAGATAGCAACAGCTTTTGTTCATAACCCTAGCAGCGATGGCCTCCAACCTACTTGTGATGGCCTCGACTATAGTAGCGACGGCCTCCAACCTACTCGCGATGGCCTCCAACCTACTTGCGATGGCCTCCAACCTACTTGCGATGGCCTCCAACCTACTTGCGATGGCCTCCAACCTACTTGCGATGGACTTCAACCTAGTGGCGATGGCCTCCACCCTAGTAGCGATGGCCTCCAACCTACTTGCGATGGCCTCCAACCTACTTGCGATGGCCTGGAGAAGAATGGTGGAGAAATGCAACAAGGATGAGCATCTGAAATGAGATCTTCTGTGAAATCTGATGAAGTGATCTATGAAGTGTGGATCGGATCTGCGCTTAGACATGCTGAAAAACGCTGAAATCAGAGAAGAGATCAGGAGACAGGAAACCACAGACAGAGGCACACCTTGCTTGGAAGAGGCAAAACTGTTTGGTATGTTTTTGTTGATGTGGCTGTGATCTGGAACACGTTGGAACCCACAAACCCTTCAAGTTCGACCGCCTTCCTTCCACGCGATGCGAACTCACAGGTCAAGCATGGTTGAGCACTTCAGCCAGCCCCTCGCACCCCGCACAGAAAAACAAACATTCACCTCACCTATACTATAAGGACCTACCTCCAAACTGTTCATTCGCACGACCACCGCCCAGTGCAGGTCAGGATTCGGCAAAGCGCGAGTCCGCGAACTCGTCGCCTGGATCACGGGCCAGCTGCCCACCCAGCTGTTGGCTGTTGCCCTACATGGGTGACCCCCCCTCCTACCGTGGTCAGGCCGTGGCTGGCACCGAATGGCACCCGATCCGAAAGCGGCGCCAGCCTTCGTAGATCCGGTCGAAGCGCTCATACGGTTGATGCCGCATCTGCCTGGACCCGAACCCCGACGGTAGCGTGGGTCGCCCAAGGTCGCAGTGAGAAGCTCCACCCCCTGTCGGCAGGGTCTCAGGGTCGCCTCCTCAACAGTCGAACACGGTCATGTAGGCGTCATTCACGCTTAAGGACCCTCGGCTTCCCCACCCCCCCCAAAAAAAAGAAGCAAAAAGCCAGAAAGCTCCAAAATCTGAACATATATGTTTTATATGGGAATGGAGCATGCGGCGCGTCTTTTGCTGCCAGTTTTGTTGATTAAGGATTTGGTGCCGCCCTCACGGGAACAAAACTCCTATGTAGGTTTGTTCCAGAAGGTTTGCAGTGTTTCGGACAATTCACCGTGAGAAGTTGCGCATG